CACATATACTAAGCATGCTGCTGAATCACTGTCCTTATCTGTGAATAACCCTGGTATTTTCTGCTCTGCTCCATTATTTCAATTTTTTAAACAATAGATCTTAGTTGTGAGCATCTAAATAAGGAGAATTGAGACAGGGAAGTGGAAGACAAGCAGTGGAGGGAGAGAATGAAGGTCTGGATTCTGCTCTTAAAAGGATAATTGGCAATACTTAGCCATATTTGTGGTTGTCACAGTGGCCTGGAGTGCGATTGGGACCTAGGAGGCAGAGACTAGGGATGCTATGAAACACTTCAGTGCATGAGACCATCTCATATAACACACAACTATCTAGGACCAACAATTGATGGGGATGATTACAGAAGGAAATAAAAAAATAAAAAGTACATTATAAAGTTTATGAAAAAAATTCAAACTTTAAAAGCATTAAATGGATAAATTCAGGGACACTATGGCAAAAGCATTAAAGACTTGTTTCAATCAGCTTATAATTACTTAGATGAATACAAATACGGCAGGTAATATTTTTAAAATTCTCAAAGGTAAATATCTCACATTAAACTAAAATAAAAGATAAGTGTTCTAAAACAAATGGTGCACAGAAAAATTAGAGTATAGAATCAATGACTCTCCTGAAGTCTATGTATCTAGGAATTTCATTCTTAATTTCTTGAGGTGAGAAAGAATGCTATTTACCTCTACATTCTCCACTGGATCCAATCCAACACCTTCTAAATAATAGGCACGGAAAAAGTTCTTGGCAGAAAAATGAGAAATAGATGCTTTACATTTACTGAAGCATTGAATTATAGCTCAAATTACACCTCACCAATTAGAAACAATGTATCCTTCTTAAACAGCAATCAGGAGTTTTAACACAGGGCAGATCCTGTAAGAGGTAAAACCAACACAATCCACATAACCATAATTATGTATTTATCCAAAACACTGGAGAACCATCTTGTAGAATTATTGACTTCTACAGAACATTAAATAAGTAATCTAAAAATGATCAGAATACCTACTACTTGTTAACTACCGTGTGTGTGTGTGTGTGTGTGTATGTGTTTATATAGTTTTGTTTGGTTTCTTCAGTAACCGAATTACAAAAAAATGCTATTGTTAAGGACATAGACTTAAGTATGTGTGTGTGTGTGTGTGTGTGTGTGTGTGTGTTTGTGCGTGCGCACGCGCGCACATGTAAGTTTAGTGCCACCAGAGGCCAGAAGAGGGCATCAGATATCCTAGAACTGGATTTACAAATGATTGTCAGCCTCATAGGTGCTGGGAACTGACTGAGGAGATTCTCTGAAGGAACTGCTGAGACATCTCTCCAGCCCCTACCTAGAGTGTTCTAAAAGGCAGAACAAGATTGTTTATATATTCAGTGAATGGCAAACCCATGACTGAATATCTTAGGCTGAGAAAGAGAGGCTTTTCCTCTTAAACCTCCCTTTCACTTTTAAATAAATAAACAAACACACAAAAGTTATTGTTAGCATCACAATAAAATATAAGAAAAATAAAAACGATTATAAATTAGTGAAATTCTATGTATTCAAAACGGTGACATCTAAGCAGCAAATTAATGTCAAAAGCATCAATGCCCTAATAATGTCTCTAAGACATTATTAAATAAAGGAAGAGAGCGAAGAGAGGGAGGGAGGGAAGGAGGGAGGGAGGGAGGGAGGGAAGACAAATAGACCAGCTAAAAGGAAAGCAAACTTAAAAAAAAAATTAAAGCTTGTTTGAGCTGAAAGATGAGCTTTTATTATTAAAATAGCAAGACTATCTTCTACATTGTAGACACATACTCAGGATTGAGAAGTTTTCTGTAATGATATAGTCTATACTACATATTCATTATTAGATAAAAACATTTTAAATTAGGCTACTTGGTTCAAATTTGCCTTGTAAAGATCTGAGGTCAGTGTATTTAAAAAAAAAAAGGACAGAAAACAAAGACAATGGCAAGACTGATTGTGATGTAAAATACTTTCTCTGGAATTATTTATGTTAGAAAAGACAAAAGGATGATTATCTGTGAAAGTTTCATTGATCTTTATCAGAACAACATCTCAAAAGTGTCTAAGAAAAACGTGTGTGTTCAGAGGCTGCTGATAAAATTAATTATGAGGGGAAAATGCACTGTACTAGGTAAACACCAAGAATGGCTATGGATTAGAAGGTAAGACTGTGTTTATAAATTGCTTCTAGATTTGAGACCTTTTCACAAATAAAAATGTTACTATAATGATGCAAAGTCACGCTAGGATACAAGCATCCTCTCTAAAATCTCCAGGCTCAGGAGCTACCCTTTCTTCTTGCTACTCTATTACAACTGAAGAACTATCCAACAGGAAAAATTACAGTATTTATATATCTTCCTCCAAATTTCAAAGTATGATTGTGCCTAGGGAGTATATATTAGCAAAAACTGATCTCTATAATTATTAGATAGACAACAAGTAGCAACCTTGTAACCGTGTAGGCACTAGGAGTTCAAGTTAGAGAAAAATAAGCATGTGAGTGACATTTAGTTTCTTTCTACATAAGATGTGTGTTGTACTTGTGCCCAGCATTTCATGTGTGAGTGTAACAAACACATAAATGTATGGGAGTTTTTAATGTCATTAATTTAGAACCTTAGGACAAAAAATACCACTACAAGGCTACCACATAGAAATCTTTCGGGCATTACAATGATACAACTCTATGAGTTTTTTAAAAATATAATCTTGTTCTATAAATGAAGGCATTATTTTAGCAAAGGATACATAAATTATCTAACAGATATAATATAAAACAAACCACCTAAAATTACTATTAGTTTTGATCTATTAGTATCATAATATATACCCCAATAAAATGTAAAAAATTACCATTAGTAAATATGCTTAAAGACTATTTCTTTAACAAATAAAATTTCTACATGTTCTTTAAAAATTGATGAAGATACACAGTTCTCTTTTAGAAGCTATATTTCTACCAACTCCGTATTCTCATAGTTCACAACTGGAGTACAGCTATGACCTAAGGAGTTTGTATCTAAATTGTTTCATTGTATGTGTATTTCTCTGATCCATTTACTTAAAATTTTATGTCCTCTTTTGTATGGTAGTGACATTAGATATTACTAATCATGACTTTTAAAAATATACTATATTAAATTCTACTGATACCTAATAAGTTTTTGGTCAAGCTACACTTGCAATTATTTTTATTTTGTTAGTATATGGTCAAGAGAATTATTCTTCACAATTCTTAGCTATTGTTTTTACAGCTATTAACTTTATAAAATAATGTATTGTAAGAATCCTATTGCTACTTTGGCCATTAGTAACTTTATTACACTTTTTGGCACATTTCATTACAGTATTTAGTCTTCCTATGTAGGAATAAAAAAATAAACCTCTATTCATAGTTTCCTTTGTTATGAGGGAAACATTTTATCATTTTTCCTGCAAGTATCATCATGCCCTGATAATTATATTTTTGATTCCATTACTCTGGGTTTTATTTAAGAACAACTTCCCATTTGTATTTTCTATTAGGTACCTATGCTATGGAATAAATCACTATATTAATTTTAATCTGCATGACTTCCTGAATTCTTCTGCTTATTACTGGTAATTATTATAACAAAGAAAAGGACTGCCTACCAAACACGACAAACTGGGAGGAAGGAGAAGGGGGGGGCTGACATGAAGAATTCATGTCATATACTCACCAGTCTGATATACTTTACCATCTAGCAAAATAAACTCCAGAAAAAAACAAAGGTCAATGGTTAAAAATAATTTTAAGAAGAAACTATATAGGTAACTACTTAATATATTTGAAGATGAATAAGAAGTATCTAAGGATGAGCATAATCAGAATAAAATTCAACAAAGAAAATTGTACCTGTACTAAGCATGCTATTCCCAAATGATCAAAAAAATTAATAGACAAGCACCTAAATGGAAATAAATTTAATGAATTAACAGTTAAATGAGGCAAAATCCTATTTTTAAAACAATTTTATAAATTGATAAGAGAAAACTAGTAAAAACTAAGAAGGAAGTGAACAGAAAGAATAAAGGAATGAATGATGATGCAAAGGAGACTGAATGTTACACAGTCATATCACAATAAAACTATGCAACTTTCAGACCATGAGTTACAGTATTTTTATGGCCTTTTCAATAGACAGAAAAATGGTGCTATAAAATAAAAAATTCAAGCATTTGTGATAAGAGTGAAAAAAATGTTAAGACCCTTTCTGGAAAGCAACTCTGAAATATGAATTAAAGGAATATATGTCCAAACTTCAGACATGCACACACACACACACACACACACAATCAGATATGTAGGCAAAAATTATACATAAAGAATAAGCATTTAAAAAAGCTTTTATACCTTAAAGAAATATATTTGGTTAATGGTGATATATTCCTATGATAGAACAACAGTGCAGTCACTTAAATTTCTAAAGAATATTAAATGACTTGAAAGTAAGCTTACAATGATAGCAACTGAAAGGGGATACAAAGCTATCTACAGTGTGATGTTAAATGTATAAATCTGAAAACCCTACATTGAGAGAAAGGGTTGAAGCCTATGTATAACAGCAGTTCTTTCTCAGGAAAGGGATATAGTGGGATTTCTTTCTTTAAAATACCTGAGCAATGTTTCCAATGTTCTATTGTAAACATATTCCTAGTTTTACAGAGAAATGTAAAAATTTTTATTTTTAAAACTAGAATTGTTAAGTATGTGTAAATATGCTATGCTATCTAAGGATACAGGAAGCCTCAGTAAAAAAAGCAAGAAAGCAATCTTTAAAGTAGTGTTTGTTTCTATACAAGGATAAAAAACGTTTTGTAATAAAGAATTTTCCTAACATGCCCAACACCTTTAAAATACTTGAAACACAAACGGGAGCAACCAGTGAGTGTTCACTGAGAAGTTTATGAGTGAAAGAAAGCACATGGACCGTGAGCAGGAGAGCTTACCTTTCTCACTCACGCTCTCGCTTTCGAGCTCCACGTCGTCACAGCTCGTATACTCGGGTGTGGATGCCAACTCCTCCTCTGAGCTGCTCAGTGAAACCTGGCGCATTTTACCTCCTTTCTTGGATTTATGAGGCCTTGGTGGGGGTGGCCTCACTGACTCGGACTGGTCTGAACTCAAAGAATCATTCCTTAACATGGTTTCCATTTTTTCTCGCTTCGTTTTCCTCACTGCAGAGCTGGGATCTAAGTGGTGTTGTTTCCGTAGGGAGTCAGCACGCCTCATGTCTGGTCTATCAAGTGGTATAGGGCTCCTCCGAGGGGTAGGAGGACTATGATTTGTGGTCCTTTGTGGATAAGAACTTTGTCCCTGAGCCTCTCGAGTTCTTTCCATTGAATACGATCGTTGGTTTTCCATTGCAGCTCTACGTTCAGATACAGATCTTTGCCTTGATGGTCTATCCATCCTTAGCAGAGAAATTCTGGAATCTTCTAGTTCAGCATTTGCCAAAGAAACATCACTGTGCCTTCTCTCATGTCTTGCCCGGGACACTTCAGCATGGATCCGCATTTGTTCTTCATAGGGTTGTGGCTTTACCGGATACCGGGCCAAATTTGGATCACTTCTGTAGCGTGCCTGGTACTCCTCCTCCTGCCTCCTTTGTCTTTCATACTCCTCTCTGCTCTCCACATCCTCGTCATCTACAAGATACTCTTTGGAATGTCTATGGCCTCTTCTGTTAGAATCTCTATAATTTAAATGATCAGGTTCTTCATAAAATTGAGGTTCACGTTGAGATCGTCTATCAGCATAATCTGATGGAGATCTCGGCATTGTGCTATCTGAAGGAGCATACTGTGAGTATTCCTCTCTTTCTTCACTTTGGTCGTACCTTCGATTTTGATCCCTGGACACTGATGGACTTCTTTTTCTAGAAACCAAAGAAAGAGAGTATGAGAAGACATTTTTAAAAATTAGACTTCACTGATTCATTGCCAGATGGACGGATAAATTCAAGTAGATCTTTAGGTCTTTTTTCCCATAAAATACATAGTTTAAAAATAGTATAATATTATATAATACATAGATTGCTATATAACACCATGTGTGTGTGGGTGCCTGTGGATACACATGTGTCATGAAAATACAAGCTATATACCATTCAATTTACTTTTGATATTATTTTTATACAAATGACTAAAGGAAAAAAATAATAAGAATATTATACTGTAGTTACTGGTTCAGAATTTCTCAGTTACAGTTATTTCACCTTGACAAAATGCTAATTTTGGAGCATCTGTATTTTCAATTAAGAGATATGGATTACACACCTTGACTCAGATTATTCTAACAAATATATATCTGGTAAGTACTAATGTTGCACACTGAAGTATAAATGAGAAACACATAAAAGGACGAAAGATTGTCCCAGATAAGAAGGCTAAACCTAAATCCTCTCCCAGTTTCTCAGGAACTGAGGAACTGCACTCTTATAACATTTATTCCAAAGCTTCATCAAGTTAATTTGCTTAAATAAAAGGTTTCCAAAAGAATATTTAAAATTATGCTTAGTATTATAGAACTCTTTAAAAAGACAATTTTATTCCTATCTTGAACAAACAACATGAAAATAAGTATAAAGTAAAAATAGTGAGACTTAACAGATGACTCTAACTACAAACAATAAATAAGAAAAGTTAACATTCAATGATAGAATTAAGTTCCACGGGAAAAATCATTAATATACAGTCCCTGACTAAAATTCTGAGTATTTTTTTAAAATCATTCTATAGGAAACATAAATTCAAGATTGAACTAGAAATCGTTTTGTTGTAAAGATTATTCAATATGTCAGACGCACTGAAGCAGATATACATGCTAATTTCTATTGAACAAAGTAGAAATGGAATAGTGGGTGACAATTTAAATTGGGAGGACAATTATCCCTGCTGCTTAAAATAAAACTTGAAGTACAGTATACTTTAATGTTCAAACTCTACCAGAAGCCAGATAAAATTCCATTATAGGACTCTTGAAAATAATCCACTATCAGTTACTCTAACATATTAAACAATATTGTGACAAGAAAATAACTACAAAGTACATCATGAATTATTTCACATATATATTCGCTTTAGATCTACTCACCCATTTCTCACTATTAACCCAAATAGGCCAAAATTCTTATTCTTGTTTATCATATTAAAGTAATCTTAACCCATTAATAAAAATCACGTTTGAAAGATCCTATATTCTATTTACCAAGTAACACTTCTGTCATTGCTTAGAATTTCTAATAAGGTCGAATAACTATCTGGTCTATTTCTAAATATTCTTCTTGTGTAATGCACCAGATGTTCCATTATAAATGCTTATCTGACTATGCAAAATAATTTGAGTAAGAAAACACATCAACTACCTATTGAAAACTTCATGTCTGCAAAATCATGGTGATTGATGAGAAAACTCCAAAAAAAAAAAACCTTTTTTTCAAATATGTTACTGTTCTAATATATAATATCAGTTTTAGTCTATATATTGCTAATTAATTCTTCTTGCTTTTATTATAATTCTCATTGTCTATGTTATGTGATTTGTGTTAATGATACCACATATAATACTGAACATATTTACCAATTAACCATCAAATTTTTAAAAATACAGCAATAGATGTTTGAAAACATTTATAAAGACAATGAAAGAACACATGAATAGATAAATTTTAATATTTGCATAATTTTGCTCTTAACTAATGATATATGAAACTTTAGGAATCTCAATGACACTGAAAGTCATTCTATACATTTGAATTTTGCATTACTGCAACTTAGCACTAGCTATTTATTCCAATACAAGTTCTTACGGTAAGATCATTTAAAAACAGCCATGTTAGAAATAAATATATATTGAACCATATTAAAATCCAAAAATCATAAAAGCAACCACATTCTTATTACATTTAGTAACTGTCATTTTAAGAATGAAAGACTATATAGATAACATTCAAAGATTTAAAAATCCAAAAAGATACTTCCATCTTTTTAAATGGTTTGTGAAACATGAACCCTGCAAAACTGAATGAAAGGAACACTTCATGATTAAATTTTTTAGTGTTAACTATATAGTTCAGATATAATTTTGCTCAAAAAAGTAAAAACTCAAAGCTTTTAAACTACAGCACATCAAGAATTCAAACACAGTATATGATCATGTGGAATATGCCACATACACATGCCATGCCTATAGTTACTTTTTAAAAAGCTTAGCAAAACAAGTTATACTTGTAAAAAGCATGAAAATATTTTTACACATAACAATTAATATTTAGCATTTTTATTTTTACCTTTGTTCAACCAATGCACATCTGTCGAGCACGAAGCATCACACTGATGAAAATCCATCACCATTATGCCAGGCAGTGCTTTCTCTTAATCCTTCTAACCCTCGCAAAATCACAGGAGCCATCCTTAATCAGATGATCTGAAAGACTTTCTCTGTTTGTAATCATTTTATTACAAACTCAACTACTGAAAGTTACACATAACACAGCATCCATTGCAGGAGGAAGGACGCAATATTTTAGGGACAGGCCTGTTAAGGCATGGCTATTTTTAATGTTGTTACTGTGTGGCTGTATATAGCCACAGCCACAAAGCCAGGTCAAGCAAGAATGTACTCGAAGGAGGATTATGGTACTTAGCTGATTAGGGCCTCACAACACTGAAACGAACACAATCCGGATCCAAGGCATTGCTGGACACTATAGCTAAGAGTGCCAGCTTTATGAAACACTTTCCCTATAGAAATCACACTTTTATAAATGACTATTCAATATCATTATAATTGATTAGTAATTCTGCTGTTCAGCTCTTGTCATAAAAAATATATCAGTCCAATTCTGTAACTTCTCCTTAAGAGTTAAGTAAATTTTTAATCCAAAAGGACAATGTTTCTCCCAAAGCTCAAAAAGAAACAGGTTTTGTGAAAATTCATTTAAAAAAAATATGCACCATGAACTAAAAACTTGGTTAGATACTTAGTATAAATCCAATTTTCCACATTTAATATATAACTTCAACAGTTCCATCTCATTGCTTGAAATCTGTCACCCCAAAAAATAAAGATTAAAAACAGTACAGCTTCAAAACCTAATTATAATCAAAACTCAAATTACCAAAAAGTTAATATTATTTTTTGAAAATCCGTATCTAAGTCATTTCAAATAACGTATATAAAATGAATATATATTCTTATAACCATATATGTTCATAATATGTTTACACTATGTTCATATATATGAATGAATGAATGAATGAATGAATGAATGAGGCAAGTTTTGAGGTATGAGCGAAAAGACAGCAAGCTGTATTTTACTACTTTTTAGACTCCAGGTCATCAAATGTAAACAAGAGTCTGCAGAATCCATGATAGTGCAGTTCAATCAATTGTGCACTATTGATCTACACAATTTTATTCTACAATTTGGCTAGGTCTTAGAAGCATTGTGGGGAGTAGAGGCAACAGAGTGATACTCTCATATTCTCTCTCTCTCTCTCTCTCTCTCTCTCTCTCTGGTTTTTGTTTTGTTTGTTTTGTTTTGGGGGGGCAGGCTCTCTCCATATAACTCTCTATCTCCAAGAACTCACTATGTAGACCAAATTAGAACTCACCGATATCCACCTACCTCTACCAGATATCCACCTCCCTTTACCTAACTAATGCTTGAAATTAAGTATGTGCCACACCATACATACAACAATAGTACCTACACCAAAGGGGGGGAAAAAACAAGGTACTGATCATCTCACAACAAAGTCAAAAGGAGAGAATCACATGTACATAATACCACCTACAACAAACATAACAGGAACTAGCAATCATCTGTCCTTAATATCTCTCAATATTAATGGAATCAATTCACTTATAAAAAAACACAAGCTAACAGAACAGATATGCAAACAGGATCCAGTATTTTGGTGCATACAAGAAACACACCTCAATAACAAAAACAAAACCTACCTCAGAGTAAAAGGCAAATGGTCCCAAGGTCCCAAGAAACAAGCTGGAGTTGCCATTCTAATATCTAATAAAATAGATTGTTCAACCAAAAGTAATCAGGTGAGATGAGGGAGGACACTTCATATTCATCAAAAGAAAAATCCACCAAGAGAAAGTCTCAATTCTGAACATTTTTGCTTCAAAGGGCACCCACATTCATAAAGAAACTTTATTAAAGCTCAAAACACACACTGAAACCCACACAATATTAGTGGGAGACGTCAACACCCCATTCTCACTAACGGACAGGTCATTGAAACAGAAACTAAACAGAGACACAGTAAAACTAATAGAAGTTATGAACCAAATGAATTTAACAGACATCTACAGAATATTTTACCCTAAAACAAAAGAATATATCTTCTTCTCAGCCCCTCATGGTACCTTCTCCAAAATGTACCATATAAACAATCACAAAAGCAGCCTCAACTGAGACAAGAAGGTTGAAATAATCCCATGATCCTATCAGATCACCATGGACTAAGGCTGGACCAAGAGGGGAATGAAGACTAGACTGTCACAAAGGATTAAAGAATAAAAAAAATTTTTTAAGATGCCTTATAAAGATTTATATAATCTACCAAATGGAATAAAACTTCAATATAATTATTTCCCAAATGGATTTTAAATAATAATAAAATACAACCAGATGAAATCCACAGTTTGAATAAAATAAAATAACCAATATTCACAAGGTGTATTTTGCCTCTTGAAAATTTCGAAGCTTGATGGTATATTTCACAATCATCCCAAGTGATAGATTAATATCAAAACTTCCTCTTATTTACTGTTCCTTCCACCCCCTTTTCCTTACTTTCTTCACTAAGCAAAGGTTAGGTTGGGTTACTACATCGCCCTAGGTTGGCTTACCAT